TATATCATTATTACCGTTCAAGTGGACCATGGAGTCTGTTCACAACTTGGAACAGTAGGATGTCTTGTAAAAGCAGATCTTTGTCTTTTAGGCATTTTACAGCTCGAAGGCATCCTGCATTTGCCAGGTATTCACTCATACACTCTGTTGCCTCACATAACTCCTCCATGGTTGCAGCATGTGAAATCTGGGAAAAAATCCATACACGCATTTTTTAATCCATTACTATGGAAATAGTGACATTTTAAATAAAATCTAAACATTTTTATAAAACAGTTTGCAGTTGAGTGTATAAATATATTTATAAACATACAAAAATTACCTTTTTGATTTTAGCTTGCAAGTCCAAGTCATTCACATCTTCTATGGTGGGTGAGACTTGTCCATTACTGATGCATTCAAATAAAGTGGACGAAAAGAATCCTGGAGATGGTCCCCCGTGAACCATGCTGACAGCTATAGCTTTTCCAACAAGATAGTATCTGTCTTCTCTGACAGCTGAAGTAGAAAATTGACAATTATTATTACAATGTGAAAAGGGGATAAACTACAACAGGTTACTACCCTCTAAAAATCTCACCTTCGGCACATTGACATCTTTGTTCAAAATTAACTTAAAAAGATATGATTTGGTGTCTCTAAGTTACTGAAATAAATTTTTGTGTGATTGACAAAGATCAAATGAAAGGGCGCACCAACTGAGTCAAGTGCAAGGTTTTTTCGTCCATCTGGGCCTGCAAGCATTGCAGATTTTTCCATTTCTTCCATCAGCAAACTAAGGAACTCCCTCCTTGGGCCTCCCAAATCCACAGCCTCTTCAAAGTTTCCACATTCATCAGAAAATCGGACAGAAATTCTCCTGAAGGGATCATAGGATTTTCGTCCAAATGCTCTGAATGCACCATCTAGTACATTTTTTCGATTAATGTTGAATCTGCAGCTTAAGTTGTAGTTTATTTCTTGCCCAAGCTCCAAAAGTATCTCCTCTGTAGAAGAGACAAGGTCCTCCAAATTCCTAACAATGTTATCATACAGCAGTCAGCCATTAAGTAAACAACTAATCAAAATAAAGTTTTCAAATACAACTAGGTCACATAAAATTAAACAAAGCAACAGTTTCAAAATATAATATCTACTTACATGACTTCAGAACCATCTTGCTGTTCTTGGTCATCTGGCTCAGGTAAATCATTTTCTGGCATTATGTTAATGTAGCTGGTGTATATTTCTGGTCCAGGATCCATTATTTCTGAGGCAGTCTCACTGTGAATCAAGTACACTTCTTCTTGAGAACCAGAATCCATGATTTCTAAGTCAACCTCACTGTGAATTTCATCTGAAATCATAGATTCCATTATTTCAAGGTCATCTTGAACCTCACTAGGGCCTGGCAAAAGAACTGGATTTTGCTGGTGGAAGATGGCCTGAAAAAATAAATATAAAAGATTACATTGGCATTTATGGAAGATGATTTTTTTTATTATTCCCTTGGAAAGACGTTACATGTACCATTCTCTGAAAAGCCTTCATGCTTTCACTGAAAATATTATGGTAACTAATTTAAGACATAAATTGTTAGTATTTCCTAAAGTCTTGAAAAAAGGTATGTCATCAAGTCTGAATAATCTAAATCATCATATAGGAATTTATTTACCTGTACATCCTCCATGTCCATCCATCGAACATGGATGTTCAATGGAGAAGTCAAGTAATGATCCAGAAGAGTCCCAGGAACTGTGCTGGATATTGAAACTGCTGATGTAGCTTCCCTTATATAAAAATACT